GGTGACTCAGGATGAAACCCATTCCTGGCAGTGGGGGTTTTACTTGGTAGCATAAGATGTCTAAATGTATACATTTCAAAAAGCTTCTACACATAGGTTTCCATATGGACTTACAAAAGGCCTTTACTGTTAATTGGCCCTCTCCATATTCCTTCCTTTACCCTGTTCTCCCTATGGAATCCTCCTAGTCTAGTTTCCCCGTTATCTCTCTTTTTGTTTTCGTCTTTTTGAAACAAGGTCTCTCTACATAGCCCTAGCTGTCCTGGAACTCACTGTGTAGACCAGGCTGGCCTCAAACTCATAAAGATCTGCCTACTTCTGCCTCCCAAGTGCTGGGATTAAAAGCATGCACTGCCATGCCTGGCCCTTTATCTCTTTATAACACTGTATTCTATTTCTCCTTTCTTGGAGGATTCCTGCCTTCTCCTGGTTACTTACTAGCTACCCAACCTCTGTGGACATTCTAAATGAAACACACATATGAAAATTTAAAAGCTAAAATTTAAAAGATGTACATGTAAGAAAAAACATTTAGGATTTGTCTTTCTGGGTCTGAATTACCTTACCTAGGATGATCATTTCTAGCTGCATTCATTTCTCTGCTGATTTCATTTTTCTTAACAGCTGGACAATATTCCATTACATAATAGAACACATTTTCATTATTTGTTCGTCAGTTGATGAATATCTAGGTTGTTTCTAGTTTCTGGCTATCACAAATAGAGCATCAATAGACATGGATGAGCAAGTATCTCTGTGGTAGGATGGAGAGTCCTTTGGGTGTATGCCCAGGCATGGTGTAGCTGGATCGTGAGGTAGATCAATTTTCAGCTTTGTGAGGAACCTCACACTGATTTTCATAGTGCTGTACCACTTTGCACTCCCATCAGTAATGGAAACATGTCCCCCTTTCCTGCATCATGTCATTTCCCTGACAGCTGAGGATGTTGAACATTTCTTTAACAAGTGTTTCTCAGCTTTTTCTCAGTGTTTTATCTTTTGATCTCTGCTTAATTCTATACCCCATTTTTTAAAAAATTGGATTGTTTTTTTGCTGTTCAGTTTTTTTTAGTTCTTTGCTATTCTTGGTACTAATTCCTCATATGTATAATTAGTAAAGATTTTTTTTTTTTTTCTAATCTGTAGGCTGCTGCTTTGCTCAAATAATGGTGTTCTTTACTACATTTTAGCTTCATGAGGTGACATTTACTAGCTTAATGCCTCTGGTATTGGTATCCTGTTCAGAAAGTCTTTTTCCATGCCAGTGAGCCGAAGTACATTCTCTACTTTGACTTCTGTCAGGTCTTATGTTGCAATCTTTAACTGATCCTATTTGGAGCTGAATTTTGTGCAGGGCAGTAGGTATAGATCGATTGTCATTCTTCTACATGCAACTATCCCGTTTGGCCAACACCATTTGTTGAAACTAGTCTCTTTTCTCTGGTGTATATTTTTTTGCTTCTTTGTCAAAAGTCAGGTTCTGTTGGTATGTGGATTTATGTCTTGGTCTTCAATTCTATTTTATTGATGAATGTGTCTATTTTTATGTCTGTTTTTATTAAAACTGCAGTACAACTTGAAATCTAGATGGTCTTGTCTTACTCTGGTGAATCTGCCCTTATATGTAACTTTCAGCTTTTAATATATTTAAATTGCTCTGTATTCCTTTTGTACTTGGATAAGCATCTTTTTCCTTAGATTGGGAAATTTTCCCAATTATTTTGTTAAAAATAATTTTCTGATCCTTCAACCTGGGTTTCTTCTTTTGCCTGTATACCTATTATTTATAGATTTTGTATTTTCATAATGTCCCAGGTTGCCTAGAATTTTTTTTTTTTTTTTTTTTTTTTTTTTTTTAGATTTAACATTTTATTTGACTAAGCTGTCCATTTTTTTCTCTGGTCTTCAAGCCCTGAAATTCTATCTTCCATGTCTTTTAATCTGTTGGTGAGGCTCACCTCACAGCTTTTTGTTTGAGCCTAAGTTTGGCTTCCTTCCTTCCTTCCTTCCTTCCTTCCTTCCTTCCTTCCTTCCTTCCTTCCTTCCT